CCATAACACATAAATACAATTTCGGTTCGTATCATATCCATATTTCTTGCCTCACTGATTAGATATGAAGAATAATATTTTGTCGGGGTAAAATAATATCCTGATTTATTCTTACGGGCAAGATAACGGCGCGAAGGATGTGCCCATAATGGTCGGCACCGGCCCGAAATTGTCCGAAATGGGCCGAAACGGGCCGAAAGTGGCCCCTACCCACCGCGTATTTTTACATATTATTTTCAGGGGAAGCATTAAATTACAGGGGATTTTTTGCGGGGAGTTATGAAAGACCATATTTTGCGGAGGTGTGTGGAATGAAAACGACTCCTGCCTTCGAGAGGCGAGAGAAAAATATAATTATATGTTTTATGTTCTTCTATATTTTATTAGGGTAGGCTTTTTGTACGTAAGTTTCAGAGTGTTAATTCAACGTGGAAAGCGTTAATGTGCTATTTGTCAGTGTAAACGCCAAGCTCAGATATTTGGCTTAGAGAATGCAATTTCCAACAAAGCTTATAATACAGGAAGGGTCATTAAATAGGGTCAAACTTTAGGATAACGGCATATTTCTGGGAAAAATGCAGTACGAACAACATTATCTAGATTTATGAAGGTATGTTTAGGTGTCTAAATAATTATGTAGTTAAATTATGTGTAAAATAAAAACTGCGTTCTCTTAAAACTGTATAATTGGTATAAATTATTGATTAAACATAAAATTATAATTTATGACTAAACTATAACATGACTAAGTAAAGATTTACTCGCGACTCTGTCTGCGTCGATATCTATTGTTTTCTTATCTTCTATTGTATTCCCATAGGAACACGGCAAAACAGATTATGTAAGTATCTTATTTTCTAAAGACTAGAGATGATTTTAAAACGTCTTATATAAATGTATTTTGGTTTAAGGCTTATGTTTGGGTGTTTTTGGTGATAACAAATATAAATTTAAGAGAACGCGTTTGCCCAATGTTACTTAATGCCACTACATAAGGTTCAATTGGGACGTCACAAATAATTAGTGCTTTTGTGAATACACAGTCAAAGCAGTGACTACAGGTGATGAAACAATTCGATACCTTCACTATTAGATCATCTTCGCAGACCGAGTGTTCGCAAAACTGGAATAAAAAAGTATAGATTCAGATTAAAATAAGGACTATTATCTTTTTTATGTCTATGATTTTTTATGGCCATTGCCAAATGACTTTGATCTACTGAAGATGTTTAAGAGCATATAAGTTTCTTGTCTACCACAAAATACGACTTATAGATTATTGAAAATCGCGTGACTACAACCTAGGATTCAAAACCCAAAACCTCGTTATCTCAAGTCACTAATCATCATCATCATCATCATCAGCCTATAAGTGCCCACTGCTGAGCAAAGGCCTCTTCTCATACGGAGAAGGTAAGATCATTGATCACCACGCTTGCTCAATGCGGGTTGGCGATTTCAAACTTATAATTAGAAATTATAAGTCCAGGTTTCCTCCCGATGTTTGCCTTCACCGTATGTCTTTACAGTACATATAACTCGGAAGAAGTCACATTGGTAATTGCCAGGTTTCGAGCCTTAACCTCCGGGCCACCACGCCATTGTGTCACTAAACTTCTCTTCTTTTCTTCATATCTGCTGTTCCTCACATTGTAGGCATAACTAAATTCATAAATACCCTTATATGCTACAAACTGAACTCTCCTAAACTATTCAAAGAGACGAAAATTTGCTACCTATTTGGATAAAACCTTTGTAATGGACTTGAATAGAACAATTAATATCAGGAATTCTATTGAAAACACATTACGAATGAGTTGAGTAATTCGGTCACCATCTATTATGTTAGTTAAATCCTTCAAGGTTGTGACGTCACTCTTGAGGTCACGCTTCCCATTATGGATTCATTGTATCGTAACTGTAAGGACGAATCGAATTTTTTATATGTAATAAACTATTGATGAGCGATGGGGGAACGTGAGAATATTTTTCAATGAAGAATGTTGACAATCCGTCTTTTATTTTTATTTTTCTCACCAAACGAATATGCATGATACATAGATCGATGACGTCATATTTTTTAATTGTCTGCTAGTGTCTTGTTTTCCTAGTCCTTATCGAAATTAATTTGTTTGTTCAGTTCACGTTCCTTTAAACTATTAAGACTGCTTTTTTTTAAATACGAGTTTTACAATATCAAATATAAGTCCTTTTAAGAAGGAGTGCAGAAGCTATTCCAAGACACTTTTTGCAAGTGATATTTATTATTATTATACTTGAACACACTAGCAGCTTAGAAAGCTGATGCGTGCGTATTAATGGACTTGGTCGAGTCTGTTTTTAAAAGAATTAACTGTGGGTGCTTTTATCACATATGTCAAAGATTTACGATAATATCTACATAATAAAATTATATTTATATCTAAGTCTGTCTGTGACCATTCTTGCATCGATTGCATTTCAAACAATAGTAGTTTGTATCAAAGCAATAATACAGTGGGTTTAAGGAGAGCTAGTAAGCATAAAAAGTAATGGTATGAACCGTATTCTTGTATTGACTTTTACTACTGCACGGATAAAAGGAAGTCAAGCCAAGTGTTTTGCTTTGCACTTTAAAGAAGTTTTAGACTTTTTGAAACTGCTATTTGGGATTTGCATAATTTTATGTGTAGGTTTAGTTATTGTTTATTTAAGTATATTATTATTATTATTTTATGTTATTTCAAAAAGGAAGGGAAGGCTTTATGTAAAAAAGTTTGATTTTTAAATAAGGAATTCAACGAAACCATGTTGACTATGAATTGAAATTGGAACACCATTTCATTTGTTTTTTTTATTTTATCGATGTACGTTTAAGTGTCAATTTGATTAGGTCAAATCAAATAAGTTTTAAATCAAAACAAATAAGATATAACATATGAAAATGGAGGAAAAAATTTTAAAATCGCAAGCGTAAGAAATTTTCAACGTGGCCCATTCATATGTGGCATTCAAAATCAGCGCCCCAACGCCCCGTTCGAAACAAAACGTGAGAATAGTACCTTGGAAATCGGCTTTCTGCAATCCAATGCATTAGAAAGAGACCGCTTCAGAAAAAAGTGGTTGTATAGAAAAGGATAGATGATATGCGGACAGTCTGAGACGCGAGTAGAATTGTAAATGTGAATCGCTAGTCGTGGATGCAGTTTCAACCAAGTTCGCGTTACTGGTTAGTTTTCTGTTGCAAATGGACATAGGTAATTTGGTATTCTTCCGATTTAGAACAGTGGACGTCGCAAATTAGGTGAATTAACAAGGCGCATTCTAAGAACTACTTGAGTGGCTTGTGTTAACACTAGGAAACATTTCTGCTATGTGCTGCTTGACTTTTATTCAAGAGGTTTCATTCAAACATAAAAACAAAACACTGTAATTAATTGTCCTCGATATCATATGATGGAAATGTAACTTTAGATATGTGTACCTACCTAATTATGGACTCTGAAAATAAACAATTCACTATTGCTTATAACGCTGTTGTATAAATAAATAAACTAATAATATTTTAACAACTATAATCGAATATTTGAACCAAAATGTAATTGTAATTCTAGTTAACCCAGTACATCTGAAATCCCAAGTTAACAGACGAAATCATCCCTCAAGGCAATAACCAAGACCGTAACAAGTCCAAGTAGATCTCCCAGAAATGAATACAGACCAGCATTACTAATTAAGTTATTGAAGAGTCGAACAAACTTGTTGAAATTCAAAGTGGATTGTTTTTACGCTAGAACGTAATCAAACTAAGGAATTTCCACAATTTTAAAGGTATATTTTCAGGGTTGAAGTGAGCTCGCTTGCAATCTTATTATCATAGACCAAGTTACCTGAGTTTGTTTTTCAAGTATCCCATGGATATTTTTAAGCCAATAGAGATTTTATTATGCTTGCCTTTGCCTTATGGAGCACTTTAGAACATTAGTTTAGTACTTCCACCACTTTCATGATTTACTAAAAGTGGATGGGATGAGTTAATTTATTTGGCGGAGATTTCAGTTCGTAATATATTAAGTAAGTGAGTTTCTGCTGGAAATATTCAAGCAATATCGAGGTAGTGTTTTCGTATTAAAGTTTTGTGAGTCACAGGAATGTTTGTGGTTTGTTGCCGCAAAATTCTTATTGTTGTGTCATGTTTATAATTTTATGAGGATGATGATGGTTATTATGAGAAAATTAAGTGTAAAAATGGGTACTTAAGTAACAATGTTTTTATGAGTATATGTACGATATTGTGTCTGTATTTTTCCTGTATGACGGATATGTAACATTAGGTATATAAATTATCGAGGTACTTTTATACTGTAGATATAGAACTTTTTCCTATCTGTTTAATTTGCTATGGATAAAATATGTTTCTGTTTAAATAAATGGTATTATACCACCTGAATAAAGTGCAAAATCGTATAAAAATCACAAATCACGCTTTCCAAACACGATTTTCAGCCAATGGGTGACACTTTTCTACACACTTTCCAATTTATATAGTTACAAAGAAATTGTGAGGATTATAAGTAACTCACTGAGATAAATCGACTAAATCGAACTAATATACTAAATCGAGACATTGGAATCGGTATTCGATATACATTTTAGCGATTCAAAGGACATTGAAGTATTTCAATTATTTTGCGGTTGGCGTCGGAACTCGTTTCGTGTGCACCGTTATTAATTTAGAATGTAGCCTATCAAGTTACAGGTTCCAATTTTAAATAATATTTATGATGACCTAAATACTTATAGTGTATTTTTTAAGACCTGTTATGCAATGATAGTTTTTTTTTTTGTTTTTTCAAATGAATTTCTCTCGCCCTGTGTTGTCAGACTCTTACTAAGTAAAACCCCCACTTACTCACCTCATGTTGACCCTCAGGTGGTCTCAGACTATGGTTATTAGATGGTAAGCAATGTATCGAGGCAGGTTTTTAGGGTACATTAGTATATTATAGAGGCGTACTTACTTATATAACTATAGCTGCAATCATCCCCATGTTGTTGCGACTCACCTGAAAAAAAGAATACTCCATTAAATATTGATTAAATGGTAACAATTTGTTTAACAACGGCCATTGGGAAGTATTTTGCCGCTTCCAAAGGAAAACAACAATATATTCGCAGGCCTTGCTCTTGTACTCCAACCGCAAAACCAAACTCTGTGGAATTGTACAAACAAATTCATTCACGTCCATTACGGAATCGTGACGTCACGTACGAGAATAAAACATGTTTAACCATCTAAACACTTTTGTAAGTATACTTTATAGGGACAGTTCATTCACAAAATAATGACTTATTATCTCATGTGGAAACTTGTACTTTCATACTTAAGTATTAGAGTCTAAAATCGAGTCGAAACTGTAACCAGAGTTCAGAAAGTTACACAAAAACTCAACACATGTCATCTTTTTCAATCGAAACTGAATTCTATTGCCGTAAGTGTAGGGTTGCGAGTGTGAATGGTGGTTTTGAGTATCGTAACGTCACGTCAATGTATATCGCACCGTCACGCGACATTAGATATGAATCTGGAACTCCTTAAAATGTCGTAATGACGTCTTCCGTGTGTTTTGTTTGAGGATTGTAAGAGCTATTCTGAAGTCACTCAGACACGTACGGTTATTAATATAAAGTTACTGAGGCACAATAAATCCATCAATCCTTGTTACGTTTAAGTCTCTATTTTTATTGTACCACGGTCATACGCCTGTTAACCATTAGACGAGTTGTTAACTGAGTTGTAGACAAACAGACGTTGTTATGAGCCGTTCGACTGTGGCCATCAAACTGGGTCGGTCAATTCTATAACAGAAGGCGTTGTTTCAACATATGATCACCTTCCGTTGTTTTTCCCTACTCAATGGTATCGCTGGCTGAATATCGAATGACAAAAAGCTAGAAAACTTTTTGTCGGAAAATCGGTAGTCGTCTTTTTATCCATAATGACGTAACTCTATACTTTATGGGCCGCTAGGAATTTCATTTTGGGCCTTTATATTTTTGACCACGCAGTCCCCATGGAGAGGGGATGAGGTTGCGGGAGGGGGGGTGTTCTTTATCGTGGCCATTGCGGGCTCTCTCACGTACGCATATTAGGAGAAAGGTCCTTCTAAAAGTCGTAAAGAGGTCGACTAAGGTCGGTGCGTCTATGATGTGCCTTTAAGCCTCCTTTTTATTTCTTCCGATAGACTTTTCGGTTTAGAATTATGTATGTAAATAGGTGAGTTGTTTTGCCATGAGAGCCCCATTGCTCGAGTTCTTACAAGGGTAGCAGTCATCTTTGAAATCTCGGGTTCGGAGTCCAAGCTTTATCAGAATTATAACGAACTAACTAGGTTTTTTATTTATTTAATCAGATCAGAACAAAATAAATACAACACTTCAATATTAATTAAAACTAATCACACAATACCTTCATTGTCGCTAAAGAAATAGAAGAAAAAAACTAAGGAAGCAAACATACGGGACCATTGTTGTTCGAGAGGTTCTGTAAAACAACGCTAACGTTCAATGCCGTGTGAAGTTTTTTTACTTGAAGCACTATCTTGTGTGCATAATCACGATCGTCTCCCTTATAGAGTGGCACTAAACATTCCCGTATGGGGTGTTGATGTGTTAAGATTAGATGTAATAGATTCTTAGTAGCAACGACAGTAGTTGTTTAATACAAAAATATTTGTATTTACTTGATATAGATCATTTTTTCTTCGAATGACGTGTTTATTGACACATATGAACATTTTAATTTCGATTTAGACAATGAGACTTGTTTTTGAGGGAAAAATATGAATTGACTACTATCGCCTAGGATGCTAGTCATTTGATGACTGTCAAGGCTATATAGGAAGTGTCAGACTCTCACTGACTGAAAATGGTCAGGTACACCGTTTTGATATATGTACAGGTGTCTATCTCTTGTTACTCTTTTGATAATTTGGCACTCGTCAGTCACATATCATCACTTAAATGACAAAGAGACGAGGCATGTAAATAAAGGAAATTATTTTAAAAACTAATTCGATCATCATCAAAACAATATTCTATAAATAAGTCACTTCAACATTCTATACTCCTTCACCAATTCAATATCTATAGACATATATATAAAACCTAAAATATCTCGTTTTAAAACTGGCGAAATTCCGTATAAATCGACAACGTCTTCACGTATAAAATTTATAGTCTAATGAAATATTGTTTAGCACTCGACGCCGGTCTTACCACGGTTTTACGATTCATCGCTTCCACTCTTCCTTTGGCTTTATACAAAGATTCTGTTTTCCAAACAATAAGTTAAGTTTTAAATATTTTAATCAAGTTTTGAATAGTACAAGTTTTATAGGTTTAGGTGTAACGTGTCTTTATGATTTTATACATGTTATATTTGAGAGTTACTCGTAACTAATGTTTCGTTCTGATAAAAAGATATAGAAAATATTTTTCTTTCGAGAAAAGGTCGAAATCATTCATTACACGTGACTAAATGCAATGATAATGCAATGATAATTTGAAGTTAATGTTTGAGAAATTGTTATAAACCTATTAAATATTGTAATAAATTTGGGATTATCATAAACTAACTAGATTTTGTTTTTCTATGCTGATGTGTAACTCTTTACAGTGTTACGCCTAAGTGTATTTACAATATATTATATAGTAATAAAGCCACGTACAGTTTTGTAAACATTAAAATGTTTTCATCGTGAACCCGTAGTATCGATACTCGGTCGAAAGTGCGAAGGGTGGGGGCGGAGACATTTCCGACTCAGAGCCGCCGAGTTCTCCTAATGACGCGAATATTTCCCGCTTGACGTTTAATTAACTATCAAAAGAGGGTAGTTTGAATAGCCTCCTCTAATGCGACGGTGCCAATCCTGAACACAGCTTAGGAATCGCTTTTAGTACGGCTAATAGTTGATAAGTAGTGTTCGAGTTACTCAATTTAGTTTTCAGAAGTAGCTCACACACGAACTAATAAAATTAAAGTTTAGAAATTAATATTCGACTCAAACTAAAAACTAAACTGGATCATGAGATTTTTTTTCGCAAATACTCTCGAAAAAGTTTTTTCGATTTCACGAATTCAGTTTGCATTAGACGGCTAAGTTTGGATTTGATGTTTGAATTTTTTTGAGTTCTAAATCACATCTAAGCTACGTACCTAAGTAGAAGCTTTAAAAAATAGCATTAGCGATAAATGAAAGATTAATGAAAAAAACGTCAAAATAAGATTTATTTTACGCAGTACTTTTTTATTGGGCTTTATACTGACATAAATCATATAATATTTTATCCACATCTTTATCTATACTATGTTAGATTAATTTAGCAAAATATAGAGATTTAAATAAAATTAAATAACATCATAAACTTCATGTAATATGTACTAAAAAATGTATAAAATACAAGAATTGATTGCAAGGTCTTTGGTCTTTGTGTCTTAAGGAAAAATGTAATCAGAATATTTCTTTTTCCTTCTTGTGGTAACCAAGAGAACTGAAACTGTTCACAATTTCTCAGAGATCTTGACAATCTTTTATAACCGCACAATCTGTTTCTGTGCTCTAAATAATTCTAATGACTGTTTGTGGGTGATTCAATGCATTCGTGCGTGACCCGCGCCGGCGCCGATCGACAGAGAATATAACAACACTTTTTACTAACAAATGCAGCAAAAACCGATCAATTTGTGTACGTACAAGAAGTATTGTAAATGTAAAGAGTCTAGTTTAGATTGGATTGTATGAAAAAATAGATTCCTTGTAGCAAATAGTACTTTTTCTGTCTTTTTCTAGCACATAGTTATCACAGTTGGTGGTTGTTATATCTACGTGAAGAGTCAATGATTTTCATTCGTAATATTCCAGACACAATTATAAAATCTAATTTAGTATAGAAGTTTTTTAAAGCTATGTTTACCACAGAACCAACTATTCTAGTGATTGGTGCATACATATATGTGGATTTTGTTAAAGGATTTTTTTATTCAATCATTAGAATGCGATCTTCATAGATAACGTGTTGACAATACAATTAACATGTATTACTCAATTAAGCATTTAATTATAGAATTAAATTAAAATAAAATGAGCATAGGCTCACAAACAATTTTTAAGCAAAATCTACGGCCGACTGAGGCACTTTTATCGCATTTTAGTGCAGCCTTACTTTTTACAACCAACGCCTGAATTTGTAGGAAAGTGTATGCTATCCTCTTGTAAGAAAAATAAAAGTTTCATTAAGTGCACCAAAAAACGAAGGACCTTTTTTAAGTTTACACGAACGGCACATTTAATAGTTCATCTAGTAATATATATAACTATTGATATTTATTTAGTGCGCGAGTTGCAAACATTAGTATGGGTACCAAGTCTTTCCACGATCCGTTCCTTTATAACAAAGTACGTAAATTACATTAAATTTCACCTAAAATCAAACACTTAGCACAAATTCTAGTAATACTTAGGACAACAGTCCTAAACCAACAACTTCTAAGTTAGAATCGTCCGCGCAAAACCCAACCAAAATAAATCAGACCGAATCCATTCAAAGCTACTAACTTAAAAAAGCATTAACTTAAACATATACATTATAATATATTCATTCATTCAATTTACCGTTTTAGGGGAATTTTCTTGATACTCTGAATTCATTTTATAAAATCTTTTTTATTGTATGTTTATAAAATGTTTATACATTTATTGCTTAGACTCAGTAAATCATAGTTGGTCGGAATTGTGGTAATTTTTTTTTAAAACACTGTATTTCTAAAAGTTTTTAAGCAAAGACCTAGGCGGTAATCCTCCTATCCACCATCAGGCAAACAAAATAACGGTTTCCATGATCTTCAGTACCTACTTTGAAAGAACTAATGAGCCACCCACACTATCATCAGTATACGTAACCAAATATCGTCTTTAGGATGAATAAAGGCCGTGCCACACACAAAGTTAAAATAAAGAAGGCCATTCATACAACTACATCCGCACGACTGAAGCCACGTTACGAA